ATAGTCACATAGTCACACACACACTGACAGACACACATACTCACACACACACTGACAGACACACTCACTCACACACACACTGACAGACTCACTCACTCACACACACACTGGCAGACATACTCACTCACACACACACTCACTCACACACACACAAACTCAGTCACATAGTCACACACACACTGACAGACACACATACTCACACACACACTGACAGACACACTCACTCACACACACACACACACACTGACAGACACACTCACTCACACACACACTGACAGACATACTCACTCACACACACACACACAAACTCACATAGTCACACACACACTGACAGACTCACATACTCACATGCACACACACACACAGAAATTAAAAATCTTAATTAAATTTAAATTTCCCACCCAGCCTCCCTACCTGGAGAGCTGGCGTGGGTCTCTCATTGGTGGTCCAGTGGGGCTGCTGGGAGGCAATTGGATTCCTAGGTGGCGAGGGAGCTCTGATCTCTCTGATCTGCTCCCTCGCAGGCTGCTGACTGATGCCGCGGGAGCCGGAATATGACGTCATCAGTCAGCAGCCTGCGAGGGAGCAGATCAGAGAGATCAGAGCTCCCTCGGCATCCAATTCAGCCGCACGCCGCGCCGGGGATCCAGGAGGTGACCTGGCAGGAGGGAGCACTTCCCTCCTGCCGGTCACTGGAATTTTGCGCCCCCAGAGCCGGTGCGCCCTAAGGCGGCCGCCTGTGCCGCCTTATGGACGCGCCGGCCCTGAGTGGGGGGAATAAGGGCTATAACACTAAACAGCGCTTTCTTCCAGCTTTAGGGATATTCCAGTGGAGATACCCAGCCAAGGTAGAAAGAAGCTCTGCTACAAAGTGATTTAAATTGAGTCACTCTGGTACGTTCAGTTTAATGTCTAAGGCAAGGGTTGGTAACCTTCGACACTCCAGATGATGTGAACAACATTTTCTGCCACCATTATGGCTATAAGAGTAATATGGGAGATGTAATCCACAACATCTGGGTATGCCGGAGGTTACCTATCCCTGGTCTAAGGTATACATCAGTAGTACTAAAGCACGTTGGAATGTGCGGTGCAGGTATTTTCTCTCTGTTGCAAGAAAATAAAGTCCCATGTCCTGCAATCCCAGATCTGGCAATACCATCATGATTTGGGACCCTTGCCTTGCCGTTATGAGTTTCTGAGGCCAGTGCAGTAAATACCCTTGTAGCTGTGGGAGAAATATTTCAATAATTTCTGCAGTACCCTGTTTATGGAAAAGCCTTGTTTATATCCAGGCGAAGTTATACATGTGCTAACTTTCTGATTGCTGTTGACATATTCTGTAGTAAAGGTCCTTCCTGCCCTCTTATTAATTGTCTTATAATTGGGAAGATAAGCATAGTTTATAGGTCCAGTGTTGCCCATTTATAAGCATGTTAAGAGGTTCATCACAGAGGTTTTTTTTCAGAGAAAAAAAGAACAACTTTATTAATTTGGATTACATGATTAAATAGTTCCACATGTACAAAATAACACCTCCATGTGTCTTGCACCACATATAGCTACCGGATTAAAGGTCTGTAGTGGTCACGGTGCTTTAAGGGGAGTCCTGCTCCATTATATTGTCTAGTTTCTAACTTATTTTGCACACCAACATTTGAACATGCTGTTCGTTTTGTCTCTTAACTAACATTGACATCGCACATAGAGATAAATGTTTCAGAACCTTCACATACTGGGTGTGGCAAAGCACTAACATAAAATTATGTTAGTTATTGCAGATTTATTTATTAATATCAGCACATTTTAACAGCTGGAAGGTTTCAAGCCATGCGTTCAGGATGTAATACGATATCTTAATGTAAGGGAAGGGTGAAAGTGGATTAACCAAGGAATATGAATGATATGGTTGCTATGGTTTGTACTAGCAACATATGCCATTTGCGTACATGTGATCTATATCAAGCCATTGGATCAAAATATCGACTTTAACAAATCAACTGTTAGTATAGTATTATTAGTATTATAGGATAACTGCACAGAATATTGCATGGCTGTCTTATAGCACCATTCATGAGATCAGCAACATTAAGTGATGAGGTAAAGTTCTCTACCAAGTGCAGCGGGATAGAGCAATGTATTTAGGCACTATTAGGGGCTTAGGGTCATGGATTCCCAAATAGCCACTATTCCCCTTGCAGCAGGTTGCAATGGAACAATTAAAGGAACATTCCAAGCACCATAACCACTACCGTACACTGTGGTGGGTATGATGCAATGACTGCCTTAGTGCCCCCTGCAATGTAGGTTGAAAGTGTTAGCTGATCACTCACAGACAATAGGCTGAGTCATGTACTGTCAGACTAAGCACTGAAGTGAGAGATTCCAGCTACAGTGTAGACAGGGAGCCAAGGCCCATGGACCCCAGTAAAGCGCTGAAGTGGTTATTGTTAAATGTTTCTTTACTGTTAATTTAATTTACCAGGAGTTCCTCAGATCTTTTTTTGTTGTCCACAGAGACATTATTCAATATTGATATATTGGGCCCACCCTTTACCTGGTGCTCACACCTCTCTCATCATTACAGTGAGACCCGGAGAACACTGACATCAAATTATCAGTGCGTGGCTGTGTCTGCTTTCATTCCAGAGAGCTCCAGGTCTTATAGGAACAGAGAAAGAGATGGGTGCAAAAGGAAAGCACACATCTTCCACTTGACTCACCGCATCACCAGTAACTGAGGTCATCTTCCTATGGAAAGCATGCGTTAATGGAGGAGTACCTGGGTATGGTCACATGGATGGTAAAGAATTGTAGAATTGCTAGGGGTGACCTTTGAACATATAATATTCAAGAATTTATTGCATAACACATAAATCATGTTGGTCATTTAGTGTATTAATTAATATCTGAGCTGTTACTCTTCAAGTGTTCTTTGTACAGACTTTAAGCAAGATTTACAGGTCCAGCAATGATTGACTCCCATTCAGCAAGAACATCTATGACATGTAGGTAAGTTATACAGAGGAGAACAGAGAAATGTTTATTACTTTGGGTAGTTTGTACAAAGAATAAGCCATGACTAGTGTAGGCAAAAACCATGGTGTTTTCAGATTCATGCAAGTTGGACCTAAAGTGTAATTTAATAGAGAATACAACATAATACACAAAGTTTGCAAATATGTAGACTAAACATAATTTAATGCATACATGGCTATACATTGAACTGGTGATTTAATTGAAAATTAATTTACTGGGGAATTACAACATTTAAGCAATAATAGCTGAATTTGAAAAATTCGCAAAATTAGCTATTTTTCTAGCTTTGTTATTTCAACCTAAATTTGCAATTTCCCTGGCTCTGTTAACATCTATCCACATACTCATAAGTTTGGCTTCCTACAATTTCTTATGATAAGTCTGTTGTGAAGGCCATCTCAGAAGATCCATACACAATCCTCAAGTAAGTCATTTAATCTTTAAAGGGACACTGTAGTCACCCAGACCACTTCAGCTCAATGAAGTGGTCTGGGTGCCAGTCCCCCAGGCCACTTAACTCTTCAGATGTAAACATAGCAGTTTCAGAGAAACTGCTATGTTTACATTGCAGGGTTAATCCAGCCTCTAGTGGCTGTCTTCCTGATAGCCGATAGAGGCGCTTCTGCGACGCTCAATGCGAAAATCGCATCCAGCGTGCAGAACGTCCATAGGAAAGCATTGAAAAATGCTTTCCTATGGAATGTTTCAATGCGCGCGCGGCTCTTGCCGCACATGCGCATTCCGCTCCACTCAGGAGCTGATGTCGGCGGGGGAGGAGAGTTCACCAGCGCAGAGGGAGCCCGGCGATGGATAAAGGTTAGTAACTGAAGGGGTTTTAACCCCTTCAGCGCCGAGGGAGGGGACCCTGAGGGTGGGTCCTAAGGATGATATAGTGTCAGGAAAACGAGTTTGTTTTCCTGACACTATAGTGATCCTTTAAATTTTCTGTAAATGTCTTTTACATCATGCCCCTGTTGACTTGATAAGGCTGATGTGCAAATGGTGTAGGCTCCTTATGTAATGGCACAAGTGAGTTAAAACATGCATGACACTTGAGTGGGAACTAACCTGAAAACAAACTACTGCGTTTTTGAAAATTGTTGCTCATAAATTCAGTTTTTGGCTTATTTACACATGCCTGGAGTCTACCTTAGACAAAAGGGTAATCTAGACATTGACTCCTTGCTCACTCCTTGCCCCAGAAAGGTATTAGGTATATCTTACTGATAAAGACTGAATGTTATCAGTGAGCTGTTATAGGTTCCGTCATTCAAAAGTGAACATCATTTAGTCCTTGAGTAGGGACTAACTAAAGGGAAAGTTATTGGGTTTTCTGTCTGATCTCGGTGTCTTCATAAATGTTGAAGATGACAATGATGACTTTATCTACATGTTTAGTAGTCAAATGCTTCACTTTTAAGGTCTTGAATTCATTGGCATCATTTAGGACAGCAATTTTATATGGTATATTTCAGCTATAGAAATGACTTTAGTACTAATATACACGCTGGCTATATATGCGGACTCATCTGTGCTGTAAGACAGTCTCTTTCACCCAAGGATATGTTTTCTGCGCAGTCAGACTGTAAGTAATCTTGCTTTAACATAATTTCAAGTGAATAACTCATTCTGTTCATTTCTCACTTATCTCCATGTTTAGAATCTAAATCTCTCCCCACATCTGTTGGTTCTAAAAACAATACCAGGGTTATCTACTAAAGTATAAATTCAAAATGAATTTCAAATTTAAGGCAAGATAAGCCTAACAGAAACATATCTGACTAAGAGAATGTTTCTCTTTTGGCTAATCTTGGCACCTAATGTGAAATTTAGTTGCAATTCTCACTTTGGTAAATAACCCTGTAAGATTTGTCAGAATAGACACCAACGAAAGTATAACACAATATTTTTAATAGCATTTTATTGAAGAAAAAAAACTGAAAAACAAAGAAATAGGATTCAAAGATCAAGTATACATAAAATGCAATAGCGTGATAGGCACTTATAGAGAACAGACATATAAATACATTATGTTCAGCAAAATAATAAACTTGGTTTGTATTGAGGTGAATAGATAAATTATAATAGTATGGCAATAATGATGTGTCAAGAGAGAGTGCAACTAACCCTGGTTTTGCTACACAACTTAGCCAAAGGTGCAAACTGAGGCATATCCAGTATAAAAATGGGCTTATACACAAACAAATCAGATAGCAAAATGAAAGCTTAACACAGGTAGAAGGTTACAGAAAGGGAAGAGCTATGGCCAGAGAAGAGTAGAAACAAGTATTGAAGATGTATAGGGAATAAGGGAGTGAAAAGAAAGAGGGGGGGGGGAGGTGGGGAAGGAGAGTGTGGGAAAACGGTGCATAGGACGTAAACAGTTAAAGGTGTAGGGAAACACATATAGCCACAGGTGGCAGCAAACCATGTGTGCAGATTATACCAGACTGTCTCATTTTCGGGAATTATAATGGTGGACATCAAGATACCTAGCAGCTTCTGCAGAGGAGAGGAACTCCAGCCTGTAGAACCATTACCACGTGTAACACTCACTAGCCCAAACAAGTCATAGTACTGCCAAATTTCATTAACCTTCTGAACCAACTGAACACGTTTTGGCAAAATTTAGGTTTTCCCTTGGGTCGAAGCATTGCTGCTGGAGACTGTAGTTCAATAAAATGCCTATCTAAGCCTTGGAGTGCCTGGACATTTTTCTTTTTCAGTGACTACAATGATCTTAGGAGAGTCATCATCAATGAATGTAACATGCAGATGACTTATTAGTACGGTGTGGGTGGAGCGAGCATTGATTACTTACCAACATGTTCAGATCGAAAGACAGAGAATAATGTCTCGAATGTGGTAAGAAAATGTCGGTGAGGGTTCCACTTACATGCAAGATTTGAGCACGAGTGAATATGTGAAGAAAAATGCAGGGAGTATCCAGAAATAGCCCACACAGGGGCACAACTAACTATGGGGCCTGTAAAATTTGATGAACAATAGTAATAGATGTGTCTGAGAGCAGGTGTAAAAGTGGACCATGGATCCCAATGGCGAAGTCAGGATTGTCCCTAAGTGTTAGTTTGGACTTGGGCCAGTAGTCACAAAGTACATACTTCCCAAACTGTGCCGGGTCAACAGTGTAGCTTGAACAAAGGTTTGGCTCAGCCAGACGTCTCCTACATTTTGCATGAAACCAGAGGCATGAAGGGACCAGGGTGGCTAGATGATGGTTTTAACCCTATCGGGTCAGGAATACATGTTTGTGTTCCTCACCCTATAGTGCTCCTTTAAAACTAGAAAAGCAAGTGTGGGAGTATAGACATTTTTTATAGAACTGATCCATTCCAACCATGAAAGACACTGATAATCCCACTTATGCAAATAACTGACCACTGAAGAGAAAATTAGTTTAAAAAAAATAAAAAAACACGAAGCGGCCTCGGTAGTCATCTGTTCCTGGTGATAGAGATGATGAGAACTGAAGTTCTAGCATTTAGTAATTTCATTACTCATAGCAAAGCTTTGCAATCATCCAAATTTCTGAAATCTGGACTTCTGCACAATAAAAAGTATATATTGTGTCAAGGGAGTCTGACTAGGTCTGGATATGTTAGAAAGAACAGAAAGATAACATTATGCTTAAAGGACCACTCTAGGCACCCAGACCACTTCAGCTTAATGAAGTGGTCTGGGTGCCAGGTCCTTCTAGGGTTAACCCATTTTTTCATAATTATAGCAGTTTCAGAGAAACTGCTATAATTATGAATGGGTTAAGCCTTCCCCCTAATCCTCTAGTGGCTGTCTCATTGACAGCCACTAGAGGCGCTTGCGTGCTTCTCACTGTGATTTTCACAGTGAGAGCACGCAAGCGTCCATAGGAAAGCATTGTAAATGCTTTCCATGCACGGCTGAATGCGCGCGCATGCGCTGCGCATTCAGCCGGGGAGGGGAGAGGGAGAGAGAGGAGGGGAGAGCTCTCCGCCCAGCGCTGGAAAAAGGTAAGTTTAAACCCCTTTCCCCTTTCCAGAGCCGGGCGGGAGGGGGTCCCTGAGGGTGGGGGCACCCTCAGGGCACTATAGTGCCAGGAAAACGAGTATGTTTTCCTGGCACTATAGTGGTCCTTTAATGATTCATTATAGGCCTGTGTGTGACGGCAGAATGATTAGTGATATAAGTCTTTTTTAGATATTATCCTGGTGTATGTTTAGATGTTAAGACAATACTGCATATTTTGGAATGGCTATGTTTCTCGTATGGTCTAAAAAGGTTATTCAGACATGGACCTCCATCTCTCACTGGTGTGCACAAGAAGCTCTTTATCAGTGATTTATAACGGTCAGCACAAAAACATATTAACACCAGACACGTCAGTGGAAACATTTCGACTTTCACTTACTGGGTGTGATAGAGCACTAATGTTTAATGGCATACCTTTTGTTGATTCAATGATCAGAATCAATATGTTATATAGACTGTGAATGTTCCCAAACCAGGGAATCAGAATGTAAGGTCTTGTGTTAAAGTGAGGGACAGAAAGTACAATAAGGATATAAACTATATAAAAGGGGGTGCAGGGAAGCAGCACCTTTAAGGTGTCCTCAAGTGAAAGTAGAGCAATATGGAAGACAAGTGGACAAAAGGAGCGGAATATAGTGTAGTATTTTAATTACTGGTGAATTAAATAAGAACTATTTTGGGATAGAGATATATCTATCTCTATTTATTTATATAAAATAAAAATAATCTTGTACTCCACCAATCCAATATGAAATGCCTGGTGCTTGTCAGCCAAAAATAGCACCCCAAGGACTAATATAAAATATAACTTATTACCTCAACTAAAACATCACAAGGTCAACGTTTCAGCTTGATCCCCTCAAGTTTTAATCAGGACAACGTGTCCTGATGAAAACTTGAGGGGATCAAGCTGAAACGTTGACCTTGTGATAGCAGTGAATAGGACGTGTCCTATAATATTTATTTTTTGTTTTCAGCAATATTTTGTTTTTTAGCAATGCCAATTCTAAAGTAAGCACTGAAATAGTGGTCAAGTTTAAATTTGTGTATTTCCTTTCAATAAACCACCCCCTGCAACCCAACCAGAGCTGTCTTCATGCATGGACATGCTAGGCAGTTCCCCAGGGGCACCACGAGCATAGACACCCATAGGCTTGGCAACTTTTTAGTATATTTTTCCAGGAGATCTATTCAGAATGTTTAAAGCCTCTTTATTAAAACCAAGAGAAAAAAAAAAAAAAAAGTTACCTGCGCTCTTTCCACACCCCTATGTATTTTTAAACAAATGGAGGTTTTTAGTTACCTCCAATGGCCATGAGAGGGTAAGCCCACCTGCCACATCAAGGAACACCTCTTAGGTGGGTCCTAACTAACAATTTGCCTTGCTTCCTTGAGCTTCTGGCAAAAATATCTCTGAGACAGAAAGGGGTATTTTTTTTTTTTTTTTTATATACATTCCTACATGCTTATTAACCCTTAATATGGAACACATGGGATGGGCAGCAGCATTGCAACCTAGCTGTGTGATACAAAAGTGAATACAAATAAACTAGTCCTGTGCTCCAACTCCCATTACTCCTGGGCAGCAGCAATGACCATAGTACACATCAGCTAATACATATAGTAAAAACCAAAGTCCTACATTGGTCTTAAAAATGAAAATTTCAACAACATAAATTTAAATAAATGGTCCAATCACAAGCACTACAATGAAAAGCCTGTGACTGGTCCACACAATGCACCCTTCAATGCGATGTATATTAGTCTACTATTTCTTAACCTAATCTAAGCAAAGCATGTGATCACCATTATTTGCAAACACATGATCATGTTTAAGATTTCCAGAAAATTGGGGAGGTAGGGGGGTTAAAAAAGGAACACCCTGGCACCCAGACCACTTCATCTTACCATTTATTGACCAAGGGAGAGGGAAGGCAGAGAGCTATATAGTGTTAAGATAACATGCTTGTATTCCCAACACTATTTTATACTTTAAGCCTGGCTGGTCACCTAAAGGGTGACTAGGACACTATAGCATTAGGAAAATTATTGAACACTAATGTTCCACAAAAAAAAAATAAAAAAAAAAAAAAAAATTTATATTATAATTATATATATATATATATATATATATATATATATATATATATATATATATATATATATATATAAAAATTTTAAATAATTAAAAAGAAAGTGAAGTTGTATTTAATAACTAGTGTCATTTACTATGCAATATTGAGTTAGTGCTGCCACCACAAGGGTGATGGTAGAACTAACATTTAGTCCAATAAGCCAGGCCCTGTATTCCTTTTGAAGACTGTCATAGTTCAATCACTCAGGGCCTTTGCCTGTTTATCAAATAAGACCTGAAATTTGCATTAAGGTAAAATTAAAAACACACACACCAGAAAACACTTTTTGGTTGAACTGGTCCCAGGAGCACCTTTTATTGCAAAAAAAATTTACAAAGTCAAGTTCTGTCATCCAAATACTGGGAAAGAGACTGTTCTATAGAAATATATTCAAGTTTTCTTTATAAAATACGACGCGAGAGGTAGCAGTTGTAGCACATTTTACTTAGCCAAGCGTGTGCTTGTTGAAGAGATACTCTGCCATGCCAGGTTGACTTCCCCAGAGTTTCTTCAGGCTTGTGATGTGGTCTCCGAGCTTTTTCATGGTCTCTGTGCTGTCAGACAAAAACGGGTCCTCCAGGAAATCACACATCTGCAGGAAGATCAAAAGATCACAGCAACTGGCAAGAACAAGCCTTTAACAGTTACAGTCATCAATCCAGCAACATAACCACTATAGTGTGTTATGGTAACAGGAGTGTCCTGCCACCACCCTCCCCCATTTAAGTTGGTCAAACCATCTGACCATGGTGTGACTTCTTGAATTTGATCTGTGGGGCACTGCTCCCTGCATCCTCACCATTGGAAGCTCAGTGCCAAGCACAGCACTGCTTAGCTCAGCTTATGGGCCAAGAGCTAAAAGCGGATGCTCTCTTGGCCAATGAGCTCACCCTGCACAGCAGTGCTCAAAAACCAACAGCAGCTCCCAGCTTGAGCTTTAAGATCTCACTTAAGGATGGGAGGAGGCAAGGAGCAGCATTTGAAGATACCCGGTAATATGTGCTCAAATGGTTTGGTTACGTACTTGGGTGGGTACTAGGGCACTCCTGGCTCCATAGCCTCTACATCACGTTATAGTGGTTATGGTGCTTAACGTGTTTTTTTTTGTTTGGTTTTTAAACCAACCTGGGAAGTGTGGAGAATTTGAATCAAAGTCACAAATTAAATGCCAAAACAATACTTTGAGCCAAACAAAGCTATTTATTAAAGAGAAAGTGAGCATTCATGGGGGAAGGAAATTATAGCTCAGGAGGATTTGTTTTCAATTCATCACTATGTGAATAGATCCATTAAATATGTAATTTGCTTGTCACAATTTATATTATAGGAAAAGGGTATGCAACATTCAGCACTCCAGATGTTGTGGACGACATCTCCCAGAATGCACTTACAGCTATAATGCTGAGAAGCATCATGGGAGATGTAGGCTCCAAGACCTGGAGTGGTTAATGTGGTCTATCCTGTTATAGTGAATAAACCCCACAATGTATACAAGTGATTGAGTTGTGTTGTGGGGATTGTCATTTCTCTACAAACTGTGCAAGACAAAATGTAACATTAACTTACATGTGGGTCCTTTTTATCCCCAGCTAAACTGTGCAGGTCTAAGATAGCTTGGTTTACAGTCTTCTCCAGCTTCAGGGCCAACTGCAGTGCTTCGAGCCCATTGCTCCAGTCATCCCGCTCTGGTTTCTAACAAGAAAGTATAGTTTGGGTAAGGAGAACACTTCAAGTATCAGATACATTTTTCAAATTACCGGTTATAGAGAACATACCCGGACAAGAAAGTCAAACTTTCTAAAAAGGACACACATACAGAAGCTGGATCATTTACTAAACTGTTAGTCTGTGGAAAACGGCTATGACATCGCAAGTTTTCAGCTCAAAATAGCAGAGATAGAAAGTTTGTTGGCAAGTTGAATAATAAGTAGGTGGCAGAATGGGCATGGCTGCTGCCCACTCATAATCAAAAGGAACTTTCCTCCTTACATCCCCCATACATAAAAACAAAGAAAGTCTACTGAAACATTGTATTTACAACCAATATCTTTTAAAACCAGATAACTAGACAAGTAACTACTCTGCTAAAATGTATCCATGCTGTTCCCACCCTTCCTAAAGCACCTCACCCGATTTCTTTCAACTTTGAATATAAACTGTTATCGTTACTCCAACCACAACCACGTCTGCTTTTAGAAGTTTAAACTATAGAATTTTTCTGAAACACTGCACATCAAGAGTTATTGGCGCTTCTGTGCCAGGGTCAACTTACTCCCACGCCACACGTAGCTTAGGTATTATAAAAACACCTTTGAGATTTTCTTTTGTGACTTAAAGAATAATGCCAATAAGGCATTAGTCAAATAAAAATTTAAGAAACCCTATAAAGATACCTGAAGATTGAAATTATTTTCATTAACAGTCTGTACCTCCCTCAATTTATTAACTGTCATCTCTTCCACAAGTGTACATCCCCAGACATCTTTCAATCCCCTATTGGGTTGCTGGTGGAAGTGTTAATTGGGTCCCCAATGATTTAGCGATTTACACTAACCTTACAAACAAAATCAGAGAACAGCTGAATGTGAACATTTGATTCTCATTTAAATGTAAAGGTTTATCAAAGGGGCAGGAACAAAAAGGTCTAGAACAGGCTTCATCACCAAGAGGAAACTTAGTTTGAAATTAGTTTTTAAATTGTTATTGTTTTTTGTATCTCAAATGTTCTAGCTAAAAGCAAGGTTGTTTTACTTATCACTGTTCTATCTGGCTTTGGAAGGATTAACCAAAATGCAGCCTGGTACATCATCTGCTAATGAGTTACAGCCAACATTATAGCCAACAGATGCTTATGCAGATATATAATGCATGTGTCAGACAACCTTGCTGCTATCAGATGTCTCACAGCAACAGTAAAGGACAGTTCTCTCTTCTTGATCATGTAATAGGATACCATGTTGATGCAACGCTTGGCAAGAAAGGTTGCCAGGAGTTACAGAGAAGAGCTTAGCACAAAAGCAGTTCTAGTGATCTCTAATATCAATACTGTAATTTTTATTTTACAAGTATAGATTTTAATTTCCTTTGCATCTGTACAAACATGACAAGCAATAAAAGGCTACAAGTGCTGGATAAGTTGGTAATGAATAACCAAAAAGTTAACAGCGATTCGATACAAAATAAATAAATGTACATGCGCATCGAGTCCTGCAGAACTTGCCCCATTGTGATACACAATACAAACAAAATACCCAAACAAACCGTGGTGTGCTCAGAATGGAAACTTCTTGAAAACCAATCTGAGAAAATCTATGAGATACTCAAAATGCTCTTTTTTTTTTTTTTAACATAAAAAATTAGTGAAAGACAAGTACTTCAACACTTTGTAGAAAGACACGGCCTCCTCGCTCATTCTGGTATTTGATCAATTTTTCTGCATGTTCTTTTTCCTGTTCTGAACGTTCCCGAAAAAACTTTGAGAAATTGGCAAGTGCGACATCATCACGGTCAAAATAGTATCCCTGCGGAAAAATAAACCCTGGTAAATATTCATAGATCAGTGCTCCATCATCATTCTGGCCTTCTTAATGGAACTGAAGATTTGGATTTCACACGTGTGAAATTTGTTTTAATTCCCCAGCAGAACAGAAAATTGAGTGCAAGACAAACACAAACCTCATTTTTTCCTCACTGGACCATCACTTCCAATGCCTTTCTTTTGTGCACAAATGGTTAGAGAGGAGACCAAGGGAACGACGATAGATAGAAGTAATAATGTGGCAAAGAGGAACAATGACTAGTGGAGAGAAGGTGATGAAATGGTAGAGAAAAAGGAAGTAACAAATCAGAAGAAAGGCATGGGGAAAGTAAGTGTATTCAGATGCATACCTAGGTTAACGGGCACATATTAATGTTTGGGCACTGCACCCCATAAACTGTAGAACTTTTGTATGTTGCTCTGAACTCCCCATAAACCTGTTGTTAAAGAAATTACACACATTCACATGAGACACTATTATGAACATATTCTGGAGCGCATCATAGTTATAGAAAGGGATAGTGGGCTGCAAGTAAATGAGAGAATATAACGGACGAGGTGAATGAGGCCCTGCTCAAACAAGTGTACAATGAAAAAGTAAAAAAAAAAAAACACAATAGGAAGACCACCAGGTCAGAGGGGGAAGAGGGATTGATGTATATTATGATTACCAAAAATCAGTCTGTAAAAGTGGTGTGTTGGAGAACCGAACAGTGAAGGAGAGAGTGTAAAGTAGGCAATGGAGCGAGGGAACGGAGGGCAATTGTAATTAATGGTATCAACAAGTTAAAAGGTAGGCTATACTAAAAAGAGGTGTGTCGATTTTTATTTAAATCATCCCAGTGGTCCAGTATGGAGCTGCAGAGATCACTGTGCAGTGACTGCAATACTACCTGTAGCTCTGTACACATGCCAGGGCTGAAGTTATGTCACATCCCAACACCAGTGCATGAGAGAGCTGTGCAGTCAGCGCAGACTGATCCCAGCAGCTACCTTCCCGATAGTGCTGCAGGATACTGGCACAACAGGTATTTGCCACATGCGAAAGTGTGTCTGCAGCTCCAGGGAGTCTTTGTGTGACTACACCTCTTCCAAAATGAATAATGGCATGATAGGGTTAGAGCCATATATTTGCGAATGCCAGAATATTAAGTTGCACAGCACAAGAGTCATTCCACACAAAAAAAAAAAAAAAAAGTATAACTTTTTCATAAAATGCAATAATTACCTTGCAGGGTTAAGTCCTCCTCTAGGGACTGTCTATCAGATAGCCACTAGAGGGACAACCATGTTCTTAAAACACGAAAAGTGTTTTAACCCCTTCCCGACCGAGGACGGTTCAGGACCGTCATCGGCATTTTTGCGTTGCCGACCGATGACGATCCTGAACCGTCCTAACGGTCTGAGCTACT